TATTTTTAGTTATGAAGTAATGTTTCTTTGTGGAAGTTTTTTAAACCTTGACTTCCTGTTTTTCTAACAAACTGCAAGAATGAACATAATGGATTGAGAAAGTACTTCACTTTAATTACACAGCTGATTTAAAAACCCTTTGTTGTAGCAGAGCTACTTAATTTTTTTGCTTCGGTTACTGTAGTTGGTTGCTTTCTATAGACCCTCAGGCTTTTTAAAAGGCAGGTTTTTATCTTAACAAGTGGGTCAATGAAACCATAACACGCATCGCGTTTGTGTTTTGTGTTGGCCAAAACCAATTGTTTTCTCTTTAATTATTTATCCTTTTTTATCTGTATAATTTGATAATGTTGTCTGAACCCTGTTCAGACATTTAGTATCCTGTGATGTCTGATGGTCATTTAATACTTCCGTTCAGGTAGACAAATGCTGATGTGTATGTTCCCTACAAGTAAGCAAAACTGTAGGGAATCAGACTACTCCATTTACAGTTACCGTCCTGGCTAGATGCAGAGTTTTGTAGCACCTTCCCCTTTCTTGGGAGGGAAAAGTTCTCATCCTTTAGGTCGTTGTTCTCCCCTAACTCACATACTATCTGTTTAGTTGCTCATAACTGCTTGAACGTGTTACTAACAAATACACGTTTTCACTTATTATCTAGCTTGAAAGTAAACCTGAGTGTCATGAGGTAAATATCACGCAAAGAACAGAAAACAAGTGCAACTTGAGAGAACAACAGACTGAAGATCACAGGAAGAAGAAAACAAAGCATCAGTGATCCACAGCAGTATGCCTTAAGGCACTCCAGAGTGAGCGTGTTCAGAAAGTCAGGAGGAGAATGGTCAGAACGGAGGCATCTCCACCAGGTGAAGTTCAGGCTGATAGCCCGCAGTGTAGAAGTCTTGTAAGTCAGGTTGCACCTCAGGAAGCATCTCTATCAGTCCAAAACTTGAAGGCGGCCAACAATTGCAATTGCATTCAGACAGGCAGAAAACAAAATCAGATTGAAAGAGCCTGTGGCTGTCCAGTTGTTGTTCAGAACGACTCTGAAGGACACCCTGTGACTTGTTGAAGCACAGACACTGAAGAAGCCTCTCCAAAGTCTGCATTTGTGGATGAACCAAGTCTTGAGGGTTTTGGTTTTGTTTTTGTTTTAAAAAAGGTGGTGAGTATTTCTTTGTTGAATGGCTATGTTGAAATATTTTTAGGATCTTAATGATTAGAATCTTTTTGAAAAAAATTAAGAGGATGAAATGTTTTTAGTCTGTTTTTACTTTAGGAATTTACTGTTTTTTGTAAAACCCAGTCGAGTGATGTACCGTTATTGGCAGGAGGAAACCCATTAAGTCATTCTTTACATTGGGGAACTATGGCAATTGAAGTGACTGGATATTTTCCACTTCCCTCATCTATAAAGAATTAAACACTTAAAGTCATTCTAAAATACTAGGTGCTTATTTTGAGGGACTTTTGATTGTTCTTTCTTTAATGTGATGTTACTATTGACTTCTTTTTTAATAGGAACTGGGTTGATTATAGCTTAATTAGTTACCTTATTTAATTTTCACAATTGAATAATCATCTCAAATTAGTGGAAGAAGACAACTTTTACTTCTCTTAAGGTTTTTGGAAAACAAAATTAATACTTCATCCTCTTCAATTTAGGCAGTTTGATTGAGTCCTGTGGTGGCTGCATTTGCCTTTTCCTAATGTGATTTAAAAAAAAAAAAAAAGTATTATCTGAAATCATTATTAAGAACAAACCACAAAGAAATAAGCATATTCAGCTGCAGCATGAAAAAAAATCTTATTGGGGGTACTTAAGTAATACTGCAATGATGACAGATCCCAAAATAGCTTCTGGCTAGGGAAGTCTGGGTGAATGACTTGGGACTAACACAGAAGTGCAGTCTTCCCTTTCCTCCTCCCGGGCCGCCCTACCATCCAAATAGTACTTAAGGGCATAATCAAATATTTGTGTAACTTTGTGGATGGCTCCAGGTCAAGAGTGCTTTGTCATACTGTTAACTGAGTGCATAAAGGAATATTGCTTTAGGGGTTGTTTTGCTTTTCAGCCCTGTGAGAATCCATTCCTTCTGATTGCTGAAAACTGAGGAGAAAGATGAGTTTGAAGTTCTTGACTTGATTGGAAACATTATGTGAAACCAAGTGAATAGAAACTGGATCTGGGTTGGCAGAGAAAAAAACAACATGCTTTTACTTTGGCTTTTGATTGTGCTGGTGGTGGTGGTAAATAATTGCTTGCATCTTGGCTAGGTTACCTTCTTGGCATGCGTTGAATGCAGTATTTGGGTTAGGACAACCAGTTGTAGTGAGTACCCAGGTAATTACCCAGCTTCTGGTAGAAGTTTTTTACCTCAATGTCATGGCTCAGAAATACGATAATGAGAATGCCAGTTTTGAAATTATCTTTACTGTGTCAGAGGGTAGAGATCTAGCTTATTTTTTAAATAGATTGCATAGTTGTTTTGGAAAAATCCTAGAGCAGATGTCATAGGAGCAACTGGATATCTTATTTTTCTGTACCAGTGCAAATTGTGCCACATGAGCACTTCCTGAGCAGTATGTTCACAGTGAGAGTTGAGGTTGCCGTTTTTTAAAACTCATGTCAATATGGACGAAAAGAAGAATTTTAGGAATTTTTCAGTGATTGATGCTAGTGTAGTTCACTGATGCCAATCCAAATATTTGTGTGCCAGCTAATTCTGATACTCGTGCAACTTACTGCTCTTGGAAGTGTTTTACTGAAATTTGGGTTCTTTTTAACATTTGTTTTGCAAGTCAAATGGAAAGAGATAGCAAATAAAATAAAATTTGCTATAAAGTTTTAATTGAAAAAAATTTCCTGCATAGTTGATACTTGAGTGAGTTTTGCATTGAAAATGGCATGTATACCATGATGTACACGTACATTTAAGGGAAGTCTAGAGATGGACAAATAATTATACACCAGAAATACTGAACTAAATCACTTGTGCCTCAGTATGCAAGGATCCTTTAATATATTAAACTGTCAGGTGCTAACTGCCTTCTGTGGATGTGGTGATAGAACAAGTGGTAATGGTTTTAAACTTAAAGAGGATAGATTTATATTAGAAACAAGAAGAATTTTTTATGATGAGGGTGGTGAGATGCTGCAGCAGGTTGCCCAGAGAAGCTGTGGATGCAGTCGAGTTGTAATCAGGCTAGTCCTGTACTTTGCTCTTCAGACATTGCATACTGGCAGCTACAGTGTTGTAGAACCATTCCTGGGGCACTTCTGTGGAATTCACTGCTTTGCTTACTTTTTCTCCTGCCTCCAAAGCAGGAGAGACTGTACAAAAAGCTCTCTCTGAGCAGAATACTTGGAAGAAAATAGGGGCATCAGTTTCTACTAGGCAGATTAGAAAGCATCTGAGATCGGTTTTGTCCTCATGATTGTTGTGCACTACTAAGTTATATTACCCTCTTGAGGTTGATGTCATATTTGCAAAGGAGAAAATACTGCATACGTTTAGAGGTCCAAAGTCTTTTCTCCAGATCACCAGGAAACATTGTTGGGGTTTTTGTGTTGCTTGCCCTTTTTTTAAGACAACCTTAGAATGTTCTGCTCAGTAAGCTGGATGAGCAACACAACATAGTAGCTTGTGCCTCAATTTTTATTCTGTAGACTAACTTAGCCAAGTTTTTTTTTTCGCAGTGAGTAGACTGTACCCTGCACAACTCTGTCAGAATTCTAGAAACGGTGATCCTGACAGTGCTTCTCATTTTAAGAAAGGATTTTAAGAAAGTTTTTCTGGCTGACTGTTTCCTTCCTGTACCATTGGGCAGCTTATTGGCTGACTGTTTCCATGGAATATGCTGGGAAAACATTAAGTATAAAAATAACACAAGCAGTAGAACTGTTGTGGAACTGATGATTAGTGTTCAGCATAATAAATGCAGCGTCAGTGCTCTTTCTGACTCTTCCCTTCATAACTCTTCTGCAGGTTTCAAAAAGTACATCTCCTCATCCTTACCCTGGGCTAGTCTTGTTTTAGTCTAGAATTGTTTACTCCTTTTTAATCTGCTTCCCCCTTCACTTCTAATTCTCATTTGCCTTGTGGTGGAGTATAGCACACGATGGTGCTAGTGACATCAAAGGGATCACTTAATTTAGCTGATTAATTAGATATGTTCTCTTTTCCCATCACAGAATAAAAATTGCAGTTGTATTTATATTTATCGCAGTAGCCTGTTAAAGAGTACTTTATAGAATGTCTTCAGGAGGAAATTCCAGAAAATGTTCATGGATGTCTATCTGGGCTGAGGTACAGAAAAGAACATCCACTACATTGGAGCATACTGGCCTATGCATTTGAAGGTGTGAAAAATTACCTTGTACCTCTGATGCCAGTATGCACATGGTTCTGAATCCAAATAAGCTAACTAGAAATGTATTTTTTTTCTTTTTTTTAACTGGAAGATATTGGATGTTTTCCTTTATAAGATCCCTATTAACAAATCCCTTGGCAATTAAGCTAATTTGGCAACTGAAGGTTGAGTCCCTGTCCATCTAGTTTGTGTAGTTTATTAAATAAACTACCTAGTTCGAGATACTCTTAAACAAGCAAACAAACCAAAACTAACCCCACAAGTAATTGCAGTTTCAGCATAAAGCTTTATTTTCTATTACAGATATGTATGGAAGTGGAAAAAGGTTTCCAGCAGTTTTAGAAAGGATTCATATCCCTTAGAATAATCAGTATATTTACTAAGGAAAGAGATAAAATAAGAAAATAAACCTACATGTCAACCTGTGATTAACCTTGCCCTTTATTTTTGCCTCTAGGTCTTGTACTCTTCCTTAAAAGATAATCTGTTCCAATGTCTGTCAGGACAAACCGCTCAGATTCACATACTTTCTTCTTTAGAGTTGTGAAATCAGTAACAATGTAATTTTGAAGTAAAATTTATAACAAATCAGGCCATCTAGTGCTGTCTTCATTCTTCATCTTGCCTCAGTTTTTCGTCCGAGTTTCTAAAAACACAAAAAAATAAAGATTATTGTGATAGATTATTTTGACAGTCTTAATATTTTTTTTTGAAAACCCTGTTTTGGTAATCTGTCTGAAAGTTCTACAAGTGCTCGACCCAAGGCAGAAGATAAGGTGGCTTTCACATAGTTACATTCTGCAAGGACACATATACATAGACTGTTGTATTTGTGTGATGGCCGTAGGAGTAGCCCTTCAGAAGGAATTCAGAAGAAAATGGAGAGAGGAGCTTGGGGAAGTGTTGAGAGGGTGAAAGCAGAAGCATGAAGTGATTTGCAGCTGGAACGTGTAACGCAGATGTCAAGACTGACATAAATGCTAGAACAGAAGATTAATGAAGATCACCTTAACACGGATGAGTGCAGATAAAGTATGGCAGGCTGTAGAGGTAAAAACCAGATAGCATGTGGTGGGAGTTGTTCATTAGAACTTTAGTTATCAGTGAATCTGCTAGAACTATCTTGGTTACAATAATGTTTTTAATACTTTTCACCATTAAAATTGTGAAGGTCTTAGCTGAGAAAACGGAAGTGCTGGAATTTGAGGGCAAGGGTTTAAAAAAGGATTGGTAGTGTAAGGAGAGGAAGCCTTCCCCTTTTGCCCAATAGGCTTTAATGTGATTCTTCAAAGTTCAACTAGCAGTTTCTGAACATCAGATAGTTTAGTGGTTCTCTTAGTGGTAACTTAGTCCCAATCACTTCTGAAATGCTGCTCTGGATGTCTTACACCACAAATTAGGTGACAAAAGTTGTTTGGCTTACGGTGTTGGTGGTTTTGTTTGGGATTTGTTTTTTTAAAGCTCTGCTTTTATGACTTGGTTAGCAGTACCTTTAGTATTCTCTTCAAGGATGTCCCCCAACATCTTCTCCAGTGCTTGTCCATATTCTTCATACTCTTCTTCTGTTATCTTGACACTGATTTCAAAGGGTACATTAAACTATAAACACATTGAAAGACAGAGATTAATGGACAAGTTCTGGACAAGGACACTGCAAGTTAATTTTATTCATGGGGACGATGATAAGAGGTATAAAAAGTTATTATATCCATTTGTTAGTGCTGAGACATGTATTCAATCTCAGAAAGAGGGTGTATAGCTATTGCAGACCAAACTGCACAATAAACTGGAGGGGGAAAAAAGCTTTTCAAGAAACTCGCATTATTACATGTTAGTTCTGAAATGTAAGTGAATCCTAAATAGGAGACACTGATCTGGATTACTGCTGCTAATTTTAAATCGCTTATACTGCTTGCCTTTCAAGTTGAAAATGATTGTAGTATTAATTTGTACTGCCTCCTGTAGCAGAAATTGTATTGCCCAACCCCACCCCTTAAACCTGTATATGAGCAAGAAGAAAAAATACAAACCTTAATTTCAATACTGTTACTGTCATCTTCTGCCCCTGCTTCATCTGTACCCCAAAAGCCTTCTGTGCCTCGACGATGTAATTGTGCTGTGGGGTTTTTTTGATCCCTTTGTTGCTAGAAAAGCAAGTAAAATAGCATCTCTATATTCTTTCCATAATCAAACTAGTCTGTAGTGGTAAAATTAGAACCCATAATTAACACAGATACAGTAAATTAGCTGAAAGCATTATATACTTATGTATGTATAATACATAGGTCTATAATAATTGTATTTCAATGCGCTTTAACAGGAATTTGGTTTAAAGGTTCCTTAAAGAGCAAGCGCCTTACAGTTAATTTCCAAAGATGATGCCAACAATTTATTTAAATTAATGCTTTCTCTTCAGTTCTTTTTTTTTTTCAGATTACTAAATTTTAGTGATTGAGATTAGATACATATTCTCATAGCATGAATACAATGCTAATGGTTTGTTACAGAAGTTTTCCGGAATAAGTCCTTCCTCTTCCAAAAAATAAGTCTTCTAAAAGCTTATCTGAACACTGTAAAGAATACTGGTTTTAAGGACTTATAGAGGAGGACAATCTTGAGAGAGTATTTTTCTGAATTTTTTACCTGTATTTTTTTATATTCAGGGCTTAAAAAACTAGAGCCAGCCAGAGTAGTTTCTGTCCAGAGGATGCTGTAAAGAATAATTCCCAGCAGAGTACCTCTGAGAAACATGATTATCTTCATTGAGGCAGCGTGTCAAACCTGAAAGCAAAGGTTGAAAAATTAAACTATTTTACAATCTCTGTATTTAATTGAATCTAGATCCAGTGAAAATCTTTTTCCTGACTTGAATGACTTTAAATTATTTCTAAAGATGGGTGTATAAAGCAAACAAAATTTTTATATGCTAAAATAAAAATCTCCTGTCCAAAAGAGACTCTTGCTTACAGTGTTTGCTTCTATAACCAAGATAGAGATTCGGGAACAGACAGGATAGTGGAGAGAAATTACACAGGAAAACCAGTAAAAGCTGAAAACGCCGTGAAACTTTACCTGGTAAGTTTTGTGGCTTCACTAAACAGCTGCTTTCTGAAGCACTATATATATATATAGGAATATTTGTTCTGCGCTACAATATTCCTGGAAATGCAATCTGATACGTATTTAAATTCCTTGGAAACTTGGCCTGCTTGTAATATAACAAAATCAACAAAAAAGTGAAAACACTACATAGATCTGTTGCTGTGCTTACTTTTATGTATAATGAAATAGTGTGGGGAATGAAGTGAGAGTTTCCTTTTTTTTCCTGTGGCGTTAATGTTGTTCCCTCTAAAAAATCAAGAGCTGTAGCATGTATTTTTCAAAAAGGAAAAGCCCCAAACCCTTTTTCTTACCTGAGGTGGTGTAACAGAAATGGAGAAATAGAGCTTTACTCCTGACCTGTGGTGACAGCTGAGTTTCCAATTTTTGTGTTTAAGTGCATTCCCTCTCTTCTGTATTCTCTCCCAGGTTCTGTTTTACTAGACTTTGTTGTCTTTTGCTGGAAGACTGAAACTGAAGATGATGCCCAGAAAAACTGGCTTCCATTACTCTAAGATCAGAATATTAACAAATTTTTAAAATTTCAGTGAAGATGAGTAGCAATGGCTGAGTGTCTAAAAAAAGCCCATGAAGAGAAATTGGGAATTACTTTTTTTCAACTCAAGAAAGAGTAGGCAAAAAGAAGGAATATATGATGAAGGATGAAAAATTTGCAACTTCTGTTGCTTCTATTCTACTTTGAGTGACACAGCTAATTTGTAGGATTCATTTCACACTGCAACCCCACAAACTTCCAGTAGGATTGAGGTAGGCATGGGAAATGTGCAAAGATGGGAAGATGAGGAGGAATTTAATTAAATCAGATTTGCTGTTGGAGAAAATGTAACATGCAGCCATTTATAAACCATCTTAACTGTGCTCTGGCCAGATAAGACTCTATTTTAGCAGATCTGTAGAGTTGGAAAACTAGTTTTACTTGGGGATGCAGTTCCATTTTGTTCTGCAAACGTGATCTAAGAGCTTTCCTCTTCCTGTGTCTCATGTTGTGGCTTTCTAGTTGATTATTTCAAATATTGTGCAGTCATGCTGTAAATCAGATCTGTGAAATGATCCAAATATTAAAAGAAAGTAACTTCTTAAATGTGTCTGGTATCAGCTGAACTGGTAAAACTGAGGAAACTAGTTACTGGGATAAGGGAGCTGAAAACAAATGGAAGTGATGGGTCAAAAACCCCTCTAGCAACAAAGCTAGGTTAAGAAGCTCTGATAGAGTTAGTTTTCTTGGCTTTTATCTGGGGCCTTATTAAAAATACCTGGTAACATAAAGAAAGCAGGCAGAGCTTCTGGATCCTACCAGAAACAATAAGGAAGGAGAAGCCCCTTGCATTTTCATAGCACACTGTGTTTTGTTCTGGACTGGCCCCAGAACCGAGCTATTTCTGGATTCCCGACATGATAGGGAGAGGTGTCCCTTGTAGCTTCCAGGAGCTTCATCTTTGGATCAGCATCTTCCGCTTTATTAAGGCCTGTCAGCGCTCCTAAGTAGTGAGCAAAATAGAAGTGTAGGATATGAATTTTATATAGGATGTTGTACAAAACAGCGTGGTAACTCCTGTGGGTTTTGTTTTCTGAGTTCCAAGTGACCACAATTGCCATTAGACAGCCTTGTTATCAGTAGGAGACATGCCAGAAACTTCATAAACTTAGCAGTGCAGGTTGAATGATAGAACTTCAGTTCTTATGTGGAAACTCCTTTCAGTTATCACAAGACACAAACTTTTCTTCTCAGCTAGGTAGTGAAGAACAATGGTGCACTGTGAGCACAGGAGAGACCGTGTTGGTGTTCATCAGACTGACTAGCAATTTTAAGTTCTTCAGTGTGAAACTTAAGTATATTTTTCTCTCTCTCTTTTCCCTAATCCTGACCCCAAGTATGAGGAGGAGGGGATTAGAGATCCAAAACCATGAAGCTTATTCTCAAGAGTAACAGGAAAAACTTATATTTGCAATGAATAAACTGTGTAACTCTTAATCTTTTTCATTTGCAGCTGTTGGGGATACTTTGATCATTACTTGAAACCATTCTAATACTTTTCAAGTATGAAGGTGTAACAGGGTGAACAGGGCCTTGCTGCTAAGTAGGTTTGAATTCCGAAGTATTAAAACTCATAAAATATAAGGATAATGTTTAATAGGGTGAATTGTGGAACCTAATACCCCCTCCCCCTCCCAGCAAAAATTTTTCTTGTGTACCTGAGGAGTTAGTGCTCTTTTTGCTTAGAATGAAGTATGGTAAAAGCTAACTAAGAAAGGCTCAAAAAAGAACCCTCATTATTGGAGGTCATGTGCTTGATTTCAAGTTTGTATAGTTTCTACAGTTAAACTGTTGGCAGTTAAAGCCAACCCAAAACCCTCTTAGATGACCAGGTATTCTATGTCAAAGAAGAGTGGGTATGGTACTGGGAATGAAAGGCTGCCGCTAAGCTTAGCACTTATGATTATGATCTTAGTAGAAATGGAAAACAGCTTGAAAGAAAATAGCGCTTAGCTGCATAATTTGAAATGGTACTGTTTGAATGTAATGCTAATTTCTAGATGAGTTGGTTCTTTTTTTGGGGGGTGGTAAGGCTACAGTGCATTTAAAGAAGAACAGGAATGCTGCATACTTCTGTTGGTGAATAGAAAGATAGTTCATGGATGTGTTTCTGAGAGTAACTAGGATATTATTTGGCTAGTATAGATAACGATCATGAAATGAGGTTTGTTTTTCTGGAAGAGGGGGTATGTTATCTTGACTATGCCAAAAAAAAGCGTGCCTAGGAACCATTACCTTAGAGAAGGAGGAAGGCTGTGAATTGTTCACTTGTGTTGCTACAGTGGAACTGAAGAATAAAGCGAAAATGTCACCTTTCAGTTAAGTACTTTTCCTCTTGGAGGGGAAGAGTGCTTCAACTTTTAGCTGAAGGCATACCGAAATGTGGGGGTTTTTGAGCCTAATACACTTGCCTGAAGTGCAATGGCACATAACTTTAACTGAAGGCAAAAAATTTATTCATTCTTACACCATATACAGTGTTACTCTCTAGTGGACTAACACCTTCCCAGCTATTACAAAGCTAACACCATGGATGGGAGGACAACATGACTGTGGTTTGATTGAAGGTAGACTGTAGACAGCCTTTCCAAGGCCTTTGTGAAAAGATTAGAGCACACAAGGCTTTAACCAATAGGACTTTATTCTGTTGGTATCGCAACAAAAAAAAAAACCTGAGGTACAGTACGGAAGTATGGCTAAAAAAAAAATCTTCAAATTATTAATGTTGGTTAAATAACCAAGTTTGAGATTATTGTAAAGCAAAAGACAGATACATTCCACTACTCCTTTTCATCTTTAGGTAAGCACAGAGACTTTCATGTCTTCAAGCACATTATTTTCACAAAGATCTAAGTACCACTTTGCTGTCACCACTAAGCACCACCATGCTGTCATCTAATGCTGAAAACCCCACCAGCCCTTCCCCTCACTTGGAACAAAGTTCTGGCTTTTGAAGGGACAGAGTATTTGTCCCCTTGCACAAAGGTGTTCACACCTCACCACTGTGCCAGCCGCCTCCTGTTCCTACTCCAGTGCTTCAAGTCTGACCACAGCACAGCCAATTACATTTGATTCCTAAACCAGAAAAGCAGGGTACAATTTCTACAGCATCAAGGAGTAGTACAAGGCACAGTATTTTGCTATGTTCTTTACCTTAAATTTAAGGGAATGTCAATTAAGACTGATTATCAACATATTGTAGCCTCTCAGTAATAGTTACGGAGTGCTCATAAAATTGGATAATTGTTGTTTCCCATGTTCATGTCCAGTTTAGATAAAATCAGTTCTCATCTGGTTCAAGGAACATTGCAAATCAGGGATAGCAATCACTTGTTGCAGCTGAAACTCTCTTGTGCATCACTGCTCATTCTGCTGCCCCTCTGTAACGGCAGACACCCCTCCTTGGCCCTTGTTGACATCGCTGATACATGCCCACAGTCCATCTACTGATTCCTTCCATAGCGTGACCTCAAAAACAGATCAGGAAGAAGTTTCAGCCTTAATACATTCTCAGTTTCCCATTTCCTTGCAACCATCACATCACTAGTTTGGTGACAGTAGTCAAGTGTTCCAATATTGTTTTAGGTATCAAGTTAATTGTTGCTGTATACTGAATAATCATCCAGTGGTAATTCTGCTGTTAGTATGCTACAAAATAAAGCCTGCTTTTCTAATCTCCAGTAAGGACTAAGAACGCAGTGCAAGTAGTTTGCCAAAGGTTAGGGTCTTCCTCCTCTTTTGATAAGTTAAAAAAAAAAAAAAAAAAAATCACTGTTGCACCAAAGGAGAACCTACAACAGTCTTAACTTAAACAAATGTGAAAATAGCCTGTCTCATCTCAGCTCTTCTAAGAATATGGCATGCAGGAGTAAAATCCGAGGCAGTAGTACTCACTTTATTGTCTCCTCCAGACACCGCAAGAATATTTGCGGTAATGGACCAACTCACATGCCAGACAACGTCATTGAACTTGTGCAGCAACTTTGGTGACCATGAATTCCCAGAGGCATCATCACATGTCCAGATGAACACCCTCCCATCCTACAAAAGCAAGCAGACTGAGGTGGTTGGACCACACAGGAAAAACCACCTTGATTGCACTTACGGTGACACTTCCAAA